TTCTTCACCCAAAGAGTGATTAACACTTGGAATTCACTGCCACAGGAAGTGGTGGCGGCTACAAGCATGGACGGCTTCAAAAGGGAATTAGATAAGCATATGGAGCAGAGGTCCATCAGTGGCTATTAGCCACAAGGTATAGATAGGGACTCTGGGGCAAGTGATGCTCTGTCTTCTTGGTGCTTGGGGGGGGGTCAACAGTGGGAGGGTTTCTAATGTCCTGGCCCCACTGATGGACCTCCTGATGGCACCTGTTATTTTTGGCCACTGTGTGACAGAGTGTTGGACTGGATGGGCCTTTGGCCTGATCCAACATTGGCGTCTCTTATGTTCTTATGTACTTTAAGTTAACCTCCAGACTTGTTAATAGACTATCAAGTGCTTCCTCTGCTCTCAGCCTTCAAAGGATCTACATATCTCACCTGGTTAGAGGGACATTTGGTCTATTTGTGTCAAGGAGGGGAATCCGTTCATTACTTATTGCTCCCAGAATGTTAGTGGTACAACCAGACACCAGCACCATTTTAATTCTGCATGCCTGCTCAGCATTTTACACAGGATGCTGACAAGACCATGTTTTAAGATCATGACCAGTGATATCCTCCCACCCCAATATTGATAAAGAGTTTTGCTTTGTGTCACTTTGGTTTGTTTTAATAAAATGGTGTTACATGGATTTTGTTCTTGGGTTTTTCTCTAGTATTAGATCAGCTAGATTTAAAGTCCAGCCGCACCTCAGAGACCAACAAGATTTTCATGGTATTAACTTTCAAGAGTCAAAGCTCCCTTCATCAGATATTTTAGTATTAGGTATTGCTGTTATTGCTGTTGCAGCAAGAATGTGCATGGGATTTTTGTTGTTATTAAGGAAGTAATTTTCAGCGATAAGCACAGGGTGTTAAAACGTATACAGGGCAGAAGGAAGGCCTCATACTTTGTGGAGCAGAGTATGACTTTTGATTTGAACAGGCTTTTGTTTTGAAATACATTGATGATAAGAGCTGCAAAACTTTATTTCAAAAGAACATTAAAATTATTAGTTTAGATGTAGTCTAAAGAGAAGGTGGTAAGAGAACTGGTGTCAAAACCACAGGAAACTTAGGGCACATGATATATTGCTTTCTGGATAAGTCCCTGAGTTGGGTTGGCAGAGGTGTTCTGGGCATCAGTGCCTCTAAGACACACACAGACCCAACTTGGATCAGGACCATGGTGTATGTAGACATAGGGCTTTCCAGCATTCTCATTTTCCTCACATGTAAGTTCCTGTTTCTTTTTTTGTTCCAAATGTGTTTTGCTCCTCTTAGTGGCCTATTCAATATTACACTGGGTTATGTCCAGCATAAGAACCTGCAATTTAAATCTGCAGAGAAATATGCTTGATGTAAACTCTCTCTCTCTGTCTCTCATGCTGCTTCTTATTAGTTTTAAGTCAATTACTAAAATATAGAAAAAGCTAGATCCCACTTGAATGGCTGAGAAAATCTATCACAGATGCATAAAATCTTGCAGCTAAAAGAGTGATAGATCTGCTATTATCTTCTAACAAAAGATGTAGTGTCTCAATATGATCTATATTTTGGAGCAAAGGAAGAATTAAAAGATTTCTAGGTTCAGAAAAATAATTGCATTCAATGGTCACATTGGTGCACTTCTTACACCGCAGTTGCATACTCTATCAGAGTACGATATCTTAAGGTATCTTCCTTGCAAAACTCTAGATGGTAGGACATTAAGGCATGCCAACATAAATGTACACCTATAGCAATGAACAGTCAAATGTCAAATGTGAGCAGTAATTGGGGAGCTCTCCAGGTGGAAAAATATCAATAAATTGAGTAGAACAAACGTGTCACACTCTACAGATTGTACTGCTATCATACTTAAATAGACAATCATTCGTATGGCTTCCTGTCTCATAACTGAATAAATGGAGTCCGCGGAAATGTAGTTGTTGTGCGACAAGTTTATCCCATTGGGAAACATAAGAGTTCTCCCTGACTAAGCTGAGGTAGCTCTCTTGGATGTCAGAGTGTCTAATTTTAACTTTAAGGGGGGAAAGCTGTCAACCCAGCCCAAGCTTTGTCAGTGACTTAGTAGGGGCCTCCAGCACTACGAATGGCTGACTACTAGGACACTGGTCTAGAGTAGGAGTTAACTCCTACTCTAGAAGAAGGGATCCCCCCCCCAAGGTTATCTGAAGAGTTTCCAATCTATTAATTAGGCGGGTTTGTTCACCAAGAGGTAATGCCCCAAATTATTCAATCAGATTTGTTTCCATTGGTTCAAAATGAAATCCCATTGCCAGGTTTTTTTTAAAAAAGAGGTGTTGGAACTCTCAAGAGGGAAATGAAACTCCATTTTGGCATGTTCCTCCAGAAAAAAAGCCCTGCCCAATAGCTAGTAGTCTCGTCCTTTGGGGCCTTTATCTGATGATTAATAGAGAATGAGGAACAGTCACTTATTATTTATTATTATTTATAAAATTAGACTTTTAGGCCACCTGAAAGACAT